ATAACTATAATAATGATATTAATAACATTATCATTGTATTCTGTTCAATTTTCAAATTTTATGTCCATAAGATATATTACGAAAAAATGTCAAACATTTTTTATTTTTGCAATAAACAAATATGATAATCTTTTGGTTGGTGCTCTTACTGCGATAGTTAAAAGTTTTATGCCAAACAGAACCTTCAGACCGTATGTTGTTAAAGCCCAGTAGAGCTCAGTGACACTGCCGATCAAGCCGTAAACTAACATTTACATATATATAATTATTCATCGTTCTACTGAGCTCTACTGGGCTTTGCCAACATACAGCCTGAAGGTAACATTTGGCATTAAACTTCTGACTACAACGGCCAACGCTGCTTGCTCACCCAAGTTGAGTGAACTGTTCACCCAAGGTGGGTGAGCAGTTGTACCAAAAGCTTGGTTATGTAGCCTTTTGCTGCTGCTGCTTGCCTGGTTTCGGTGAGAAAGAGCACAAACCATAGGGGCGCTGTTTACAGTAAAGTTGGGGAGACAGTCCACCTAACTTTTTTTCAGAGTAAGAATACTTAAAATCATGTACAGCGTAAAATTGAAGCATACAGTGATGTTACGTAAAATTAAATTGTTCTGCATCTTGGTAAAAATATCTAATTTAAAAAAATAGTTTTTATTATTTTTTAATGATGTACCTCATTGAAAAAATAAATTGCATTCATACAAAAATCTCATTGTTTACTTGTAGGTATGTCAATGGATCAACGTACAGAAAATGGAACTTATCTTTACCTATGATGGCTACTCTATATCGCCTGGCTAATCCTCTATTAACAGATCTGGTTGATCAAAACTATTTCTACCTTTTTGATCCAAAATCATTTTTTACTGCAAAAGCTTTGAATATGGCAATACCAGGAGGACCGAAATTTGAGCCTCTTGTCAAGGATTCTAACGCTGCTGATGAAGATTGGAATGAATTTAATGATATCAATAAAATCATCATCAGACAACCCATTCGAACTGAGTACAGGATCGCTTTTCCTTATCTATACAACAATATGCCGCATCACGTCCATTTATCTTGGTAAGAGAATTAATACACAGCATATTTTATATTTTATAATAAGAAAAAATTACCATTAACTCGGGTTGTTAACATTTAATCTTTTCGCAAAAACGTCACCAGCCTGAGTCTCGAGATATCTACTGACACCAAATATTCGAAGTTCAACTTTTGCTTCTCTGTCGTGATAATATGGATCGGGATTTGAAATCTAAGCTACGTTTAAGGAGTTACTGGCAAAAAAATAATAAATGTTCGGTAACACTTGTGAAACAAATGACTTATTTTTTACGAAGATATGTGCGTATGAAAATGTTGAATATTTTATTTCAGACGTATTTTCCAAAAAAAAAACATTTAATTCCACAAGATAGCATATGCTCTTATGGTGGAATTAATTAAATTTTATTAAACGTAAATTTTCTGAAGATTTTGCGTGCGATTGTTTTTATGTTCAATTATTAATTTTTTGTGAAAAAGACATCTTAATTTTGATTAACTTTTCTTTCAATAGGAAAATTTAAAGAAAAATTTTTAATTAATTTGAATGGTAGTTTAAATACAATTTAATTACTGACCCCCATACCATTCTACGTTAAAGTAAAGATTTAAATAATTTTTTTCTCGACAATACATCTGAAAAAAAATATTTCAAGAAACTCATTTGCCCATGTAATATTCTTTTTCTTACAATCTCACCCGGAAATTCAAGTTTTGGTGGTAGTGTATAGGGACAAAAGCACAAACATACTGTTATGTTACTGAGTTATTATTATTTGACTAGCAAGAGTTGGGTGTTAGCACCAAGAGTACGTCTTGATTGTCTTAATTTTATGTTGAATTTTTATGGATCTTATTGTTCAGTATAAAGCTACGTATGAACATGTATGTTAAATTATGAGAAATTTCGCCTACTTATTTACTTATAACTTTTTAAATAACTTTTCACTCATGTTGGCTATTATATATGATCATCACAAACCATTTTAACTGTATTGTAACACTGTTTCTTCACCTGAAAATAAAAGAAGTATCGCCGACATAGTGTTAACAAATCTTGTTCACGTACGTCACTTTTGTCCCTATACCTTGGGTTTCTTCTCCCGAAAAAGGGGATTAGTGCGGGAGTCCTCCCGTTCTACGAAAGAACTATTAAATTAACACCAACAAATACCTCAAACTACTCTTTTATTCAATCACTAATACACCAACACACAGTATCTCAATACACTATACACGACACAATGCTTCACATCGTCCCCTGGACTGCTCTAAAGTGACTCCGCTTCGCACTACGCGAGCCACGAGCGCCCGTCCACCACGTCCTGCTTGTCCTGGACCAAGAGGAGCTTCTGCTCGTCCTAGACCCACGCTAACATACACACACTTACACTCCGTCCACAATCCCACACACTACTATATTCTACTGATCTATCTCTCTCTCCTTCTGCTATCCATTCTCACACACCCGGCGAAACGCACGAACAATGGGGGCACTCCTGAGCATGCACCTCGCGATCTCTCATACACCTCTCAACCCACACATTACTTCTCTCACTCTCTCTCTAGTCTCACTTCCTGGTCAAACGTCCGCGAGCCCAACCCAGCGCGATGTCGTCTAGGGTCCTCGAGCGGGTCGTTTGTCCAACGGCTTCGCTCTTTAACTTCACTCTCTCTTACCCTCTTTTTCTGGTCTGGGCTTCTTCCGTAGTCCGCTCCCTGGAAACCTCGTCGTCCTGAGAGAAAACAGCAGCTGCTAGACTCACGCCCACACTTCTCCCTCTTCTCTCAACACTCTACGCACCTTCTCAAAAACTCTCTTAACTCTCTTTCTCTCGCACTATTCTCTTGCCACAAAAACCTGAAAACCACCGAACTCTCACTGCTCGCACATAGGCGCTCAGCTCGAGACTCTCCACCAGACGGACGAGCGATGTCTCGCTTGAGCAATCGCCGCTGCCACTGCTACTGCCACATATCTCCCTTCTCCCAGCTGTCGGCATGACAGCTACTGTGTGTCCTGGTAGTCACGTTCGCATTTTTTCGTGTCCTTTCTCGTAGGCGCTGCTGTGTCTCTGCAGCTCAGCTAGTTGTCCGTTGCCGTCCTCTTCTCCTCCTCTCATCGTATACAAAGCTCCTGAAAAACAAACCAATTCGGAGAAGCTTCAAATTCATGCTTCATGCATATATACGTTGTATCAGCGAGAGCATTTTAAAACGTGGAGGCCATTTTTGCATCATTTTAGTATGTATGAGAAATTTTAAATAACTGGATCATGCTGGGCTTAATCCGAAACGTTTTATTACGGAAATTTGATATCTTTCTTAATTTATTTGCTTATTACTTTTTACAATAGGTTTTTACTCGTGCTAGTAGTAATATACACTGACGATTAGTATCGGTAAAAGTACGTATGTCTAATTTTTTATTTCGGAGATCATGTTAGTTCAAGCTATAGCTATTAAATATATTCGATATTTTATTTAAAATTGATATTTTGCCTGTTTAAGGTGATTAGTGCGAATATATACATATATGTACATATGTTTATAAATAGTGACTTATGCCGACTTCAAGTGCTTCTAACATATATATCAATAACATGGTAGAATTATGGGGACGTCCGCATAATTTCACTTTTGTCCTCATAATAACCCTAACATACGTGTGATTGGCCGCATAAGTCACCTCTTGATAAACATATATTTATATATGTAACCCTGTTCAAATTAACGTTTATTGAGTAATTTGCTACATATATAATTAATAATTTACATAATTTTTCATCGAAATAGCACAAAAAAAACTTATAAATTACATAGATCTCGAGAAATATTTTAAAATTCTGATAAAGTTCAAAATGGTTAGTAAAATTTCAACACTACATAGATATACTAAAAGCATTGCAAGAGACACCAAAATTCAAATATTTAAAAAACGGTACGGCTAAATAATCTAAAATTTTAATCTTACTAATATATAAATCAAAGTCGCTAAAATCGTTGTAACCGCTAACCGCGAAAACTTATAAACTAATTTTGCTGAAATTTTGCATAGTGATTCTTGATAATTCCGAGATGGTTTTCACATAGTTATTTCCTGAAAAAGTTGCTAACAATAGCGATAAATATGCTCATAGTTTTGCTACAATAAGCTAGCTTTGCTTTTTAGTTTAGTACGATCTGCTAGGTGGTGTCGAGACAAAATCGAAGCCACTCGCAGTCAAAGATAGTGAAGAGTGTTATAACATGCCCCATCAATTTACCGCTTATCGTAGTCGTTCATCTGCACTACACCAAGAACAGAGTTAGTCGTGCAGCTGTCCATCCCGGCTACCGATGACACTTTTCTTTCATGGGCAAGCGAAATTAATCGGTTTTTACGCTGGATCGTCAAGATATCGGATCGTGTCTAGCCAGAGCACAACCTACTCCAACACTTCACAGTTTTGTGGCCGTTCAACCATCAGTCCTGGTGCCAACAGAGAATTTTCTATTACAAATGCAAGCCAGGGAAGACAGCCCTGAAAAGTATGGACAGCCACCACGGCCTTCTTAGTAGTCGTACCAACGGCATACCTACAGAGAAGGTATTCTCTAGGCCCACTTTTCCGACTAACGATGAGCGGTTGGTTATCCGGGAAACGACCTGAAGACGAGATATTCTTTGGTCAGTGGCGTACTTCCCTCCTGTACGTCGCCGTACACAGAGACTTAAAAGATAAGAGTCAAGCTACTCACAGCTGGCTCTCCATCCATCATCAAGAATGATAATAAAGAATAACTGGAAATTTTACCACTGGCCCTTTTTAGGGCCATTATAAATATTTACCTTCCGTACTTAACCATCAATCTCATCGGCTCTTTTAAGGTCCACCTAAATTTAAACTACCTTGCTATCAAATACATTTTATTACTATTTTCAAAAAGATTCGTCGAGTAAAAGACTATGTAAAGCCGGTCACTACTAAATCAAGTCAGTCATTTACTGGCAGACGTCACGAGCGGAGTTGTTCGTCGCAAGGCTGAGAACCTCGGTGACCGATGACCCTACATTATCCTCTCGACTCTAAGCATTCAACCAGGAATCACCGATGCTCTCCGAGGTTTGCGCTGAGTAAATCCAACAGCTATAAACGAAAAATGAACTTGAACTAACGGGACAGTCTCCAACGGACAAGCATCACGAACCAATCCCTTTACCTTAAATCACCAAAATAACTGAGTCCGCAAAAAGAGAAGGTTCTTTAGACACCAACATCTTCGACGTTATACCAGGAGACGTTGGGAAAGAGCTCTACAACTAGCTCCAAAGCTTCAAACGTTGTAGTTTTCCTGCCGATCAGTGTTGTGCTACAATAATAGGCCAGAGAAGGTCACCCTGAGGTGTAGAGGCAATCATGTTTGCTGGAAACTTCCAACAAGGAAGAGTTTATTTTAAAAGCTTACTGGTCCTTTTCAGGATCATCGGACGTCGAACTACAAACTGCCAACAAATATATACAAATAATACCTAATAAAGTTGAAAAAATAGCCTTCAGGGCTCACAAAAGTCGCAAGAAGTTGAATTGGAAGAAAAACTTCAAATGCATCTGATGAATACAATTTTAGGCGTAAGGAAAATGACGCTGAACATTTATCGAGATTATAGCAGCATCAAAATCGATAAATAATAAATTTATTGCGTAAGAGATTAGCTTTTTACTATAACCCTCATTGTAATCTCTTCAATCTTCCAGATTTTTAAATCAGTAGAATATGTGTTGCGATAAAAAATGCAGAGATTAAGCTCCAGGACTTTGTTGCTGTTGTAATAAAGTTCTGAGATAAGAGAAAAAAATTTTTTTTAATGATACATTTTTTGTAGGGTTTAAATATTTACAGCCTAAAAACATAGCTCTGTTCATAGATTATACGGGAGGAACTGCAAATCAACGGCCTTTTATAGCCAACGATTATTTTATGGCAACGTACGGTACTTTTCAGCATAATTATATTTTTTTCACTTTTTACAGCTTTTTACTTGACCAATAAACTGTATGGATTCCGAACAAATATGTTTTTAATAAGAAGATTTTTGTTCTGAGAAGTGTCAGGAATAGATGTAAAATTTCTAACTGAAAACGTTTCACATTATATCTCAACACACTACGGTGTTCCATTTAGTAAGTCTCAGGTGAAATCAAGACGAGGGGGCCGCTAGTATGTTATAACTAAAAGTACCCGTAGTAGCCCATTCGTTTTGTGACAAAATCTGTTAAGCGGTTTTTTAACATTTGATCTTAATGTCTGTTTTTCACGGGGTTAGTCCATACTTTGAACGGTAAAGAGAAGAGTCTAACTTTGAAGCTTTGTATCTCAAAAATGGCACGGGCAAAATTTTTAAAGTTTTAACGAATGATCTATAGCGAAATAACTAAACGATTTCCAAAGTTTGAAAAAAATTTGTTATAAGTCGAATTTTGGACCAACTACTTTAATTTTTTTTTAACTTAAATTACTTTTTACTTGTGTCGGTAATAATATGGGCTAGTGCTTAACCATTACGAGCGTACGTGTGTAAAATTCTGAGTGTCTAGAATCACGCTTCGGATATCGATACTTTGTCTATTGAATTCTTCTTTAATAGTTTAAGTAACTTTTCACTTGTACTACAGTAAAAATATGTTAAGAACTAACTATTGTATGAGTATGCATGTCAAATTCTGAGTGTCTGTGATGATACTGGGCTGCATTAACGATTTCCATCGGAAAATCGATATTACACTTGTTAAATTTGCTTACAATTTTTTAAATAATCTTCTACTCGTGTTAGCAATCATAATGTATGCTTATATCAAACTATTGTAAGGGTACGTACGTAAAATTCCGAGGCTTTAGGAATATGCAAGCCTATGATATAAACATTTTCCACTGAATGTTGATTTTTTTCACTTGTTTAGCTTTTGTTAAATTTGTCATTTATCATATATTAGTTATCGGTATTTGATGTAGTTTACAGTATTAATATGAATTCTAAATAATGATTTTTTTGTTATGGCCGACTTGAGAAGTGTTTTTGTTTTGTAAAATAATGATGCTCCTTGACACTACCTGTTTGCCCCTGGTTAGCCACTAATTGCAGCCGCCGGTTTCAGGTTAATGGTTACTTGAGACGAAGTCCTGGCCGTAGATACTTAATGACCTTAATCCGTGCACGAACTGTCATACAAACATTAACTTAAGAATACAAACATAAACTTTTATTTGCGATGAAGGAATTATAAGTATTCTTAAAAAAATATTTTGTTTTATGCATTTAATATTCTTTTTATAATTTGCATTTATTTTTTCTCTTATTATAGTATAAATGGTCTTTTTCTTTAAGTTCACGTCATAAGTGCAATATAACAGTTAAAACATAAGATATATTTAGTTAACTGAAGAGTTATTTCTCATAATTAATGTGCAAATTGTCACATGTTTTAAAGGAGATTGTAACTAACAAGCTTAAGATGCGATCATTTTGTTTTTTGATCAGTTAATGACACTTTTTATCAGAGAAATAACAGAAGAAAAAGTTTGTGCTTGAGACAGGGCTTAAAAAAAATTGAATCCACAGTTTGTTTTAAGATGTTGAATCAAGTCAATCGAATCTTACTAGCAGTGTGGTACATTAAATTGGTAGTAGTTATTCGCTTTCTTTGTTGAAATAAAAAGATAGCCGCTGATTCTACCTACACTGGATATTTAAAAAAAATATATATATATAAGTAATTTGAATTTTTCTTTTTCTTAAACATGAATAAAATTGAATACCTTTTCAGGTATCACGCCCCGAATGTGGTTTACATCAAAACTGAAGATCCAGATTTACCTGCATTCTATTTTGACCCTCTCATCAATCCTATTTCTCATCGCAATTCTCTTAAGGTGCGTATTGTAACTCTTATTGTATTAGCCTATATGTTTGGTTTTCTAATATTCGTAGCTATGAACCGTTTCTTTAATCATATAAAAATGTACTTCAATTAAAATAAATTTGATGGTTATACTGATTTAATCAGTCAATGATATTACATCATTGTTATAGATAGGAATATTACTACGTTACAGAAAGTTCGGATTATTTAACGCTGTGTAAAGTTGAGTGAAGTTTTATGCGTTTTTTTTTTTTTTTTAGTTTAACAAGATTCTAGTAATAAAACTAAAAAAAATAGATTTTCTCATAAGAGGAAATGGAACTTACGCTCATACATGTGGGGGTTCTATTTATCTTTCATGTAAAAAATAATGTATTTTTCTTACGTTTGGTGAAAACACTACTTTTCCCCTGATATCGAGGAGCAAAAGTGTAAAATTACCTTTTAGGTGAAAATCGTATCTGAAGCTTATTATGAAGGTATTTTGTATATTCGCTATTAACACTTTGCCTCCGAGCCTACAGCTAGCATTCAACACTGGAGGAAGTCGTAGTACCGCTACAGGTATGGAAAAAAGTTACTTTACTACTCGTAAAACCAACGTATAGTAAAAAAGTTTTCATCTGTTTGACGAGCGCTTACAAAGTTTTTCTGCGAAAAGTGCGAGTTTAAAAACAGTATTCAGTCCGTATATACGTCACGATATACATATCATTATGTATATAGATAAATAAGTATATAACTAAACTCCCCATAAGTCTCAAATAGTATCCGACCCTCGTCTCCCTGGCACCCTCTGAGCTCAGCATGCCAACTTGCCTAATAACTTTATTTTGTGCAATGAAAAGAGTAACTTTTTCAAACAAGTAACAATTATGTTTACTAAAGGAGAATACAATTTGAAACAGTACTGCCCTTCAATTAAATTATTGTTTTCTTCACAATTCCTTGCTGTTTTTAAAAACTTTTCTATCTATTTTACAAATTTAACTTTTGCTTTAACTAATCATGATGCATAGGTTTAGAGGTACTAAACAGATTATTCACCCCTCAAACAAAGTGAAAAACGAAAGAATGCGCCTTATATTAAATATAGTAGAAATTAAAACATAGTTGTAGGGCTGAAAGGATCGAATAGAAAAGGCTGAAGTGGCCTAAATCAGTACCTGAAAGCTACCTCTGCATGGGAATCCAAGTAAATTCTACTTGGCAGTGCTAGACAGATTTGATGGGTCACGAACCAAGCAAAACGTGCTCCGTATAATCCAGTAATCAATACTTATTTAGATGTTTTTGATTTACAAGGCTAATGTTAGTATATACATTTTTCTCCCAATATTATATAGTTGTATAGACAAAAAAAGTCTTAGCTTCCCTTGCCTCCCCGTAGCTCCTCCTAAAATCTCATAGTTGTTTGCTTATTTTTACTTGATTTTTTAACTAACAATATTTAAGCCTCCTTCCCCGCTCTCCATCAACACCTCCTCTTCCTCCTTGTCCGCCTTCCTCGATTTAAGTAATATTTTCTTAGTCCATCTTTGCCGTCTACAAAACTAAGCTTGAAAGACAAGAAATTTATGTATGTACATCTACCTTTATTACATAGCACATTAGGGTAGTTACTCTAAACATGATTTTTTTTTTTTTGGGTCAACGGTTTTAGTACTTTAATAACAAACTTGGAGTTCTAGCGCATTTCTCAAACTGTATCTGGTTTGAGTCATAAAGAAAATGATTACATGACCCATTATTTTGGTATTGAATACTACGAATTTATATTTGACAAACGTACTTATGTTCACAGAAGCTTTATTACAACATTCATGGCTTGAATTAACTATAAGATCAAGTGTAGTTGAATGCAAAATTCAAAAAATTATTTAACATGAAAAAAAAACTTATTAATAATAAATTCTGAAAGTATTTCTATAATGTACAAAAAATTTGTAGTTGAATCCAATTTATTCAATATAGCATATTGCTTATTAGGAAGGAATTTCAGTAATCTAACACGATTTAAAAAAAATTTGTAACATTGAACTGTTTTATGACTTATGAAGATGAAATTTTGTTAGAAAACTTACAAAAAATGCAATGTCACAAGTATTTTTGAAGTAATTCATGTCTAAGAATAATGAAGAATAAGCAAACAAAAAATATTTATCTCGAGGAGTACATTATAGGTCGATTATTATCATTAAAAATGAAAACGTATTTTAGTTGATATCATGTAGTCCGTGAGCATCTTAGTTACAGTGTTGGCAAATGTTAAAAATCATTTTAAAAAGGATGATTTTCAAATTATCATAATCATCATTATCACAGTTACCATTATCATTACCAAAATAATAATTATCATTCTCCTTATTACCATCGTCATCATTATCATTATCTTCATTTTAGTTATTATTATCACTATTCTAATTATTATTATTATTTTCATCATCGTTATCATTCCTATGCATAAATATATGATTATCATAATTGCAATAATTGTCATCATTTTATCTATTTTCATTATTATCAATATAACATAAATCTTACTATCATCATGTAGCCCCGTCATTTGTCTCACAGATTTGTTTACAAAAATAGAATCTAATAGCTCTGTCAGTTGCTTGGAACAAAAAAAGGTTATTCAACGTGTCGATAGTGTAAATTAAACTGTGTTTGTAAATAATTAATGAAATGTTTATCAACAATTTTCATACTTTTTAAAAACTTTTTATTTAAAACACGTATCATTCAAAAAAAGTAGATGCATTAATTTTTTTATTCTACTACTATTTAAAAAAAATAAATAATATTTGAAACAATGTAAGAACAATTCAAATTTGAATAATGAAGTCGAAAAAAATGTCCAAGTATAATATATAAATATACGTTAAAAAAAAACAAATTTTTTCAAACAATGTGTATTAAATTATTTTCGTAACGTAAATTATTAATTTTTTTTTTTACGTAACCATGTACAAAAATTTTTATTGTTCATCAATTTAGTATAGTCAATAAAGAATTAAGAGTAATTGTTGTTGCAAAGGTAAAATGATGTTACTACCTTTAGGTTAATACAAAAAATACAAAAAACTCATTTAGCAGCCGATACTCAAGGATAAAAAATTTCAACAATTAATTGAGTTACATTATAGATCGTTTAGTTTTGCAACATTTAATGCCAATGTATTCCATGAAAAAAAAAAAAAAAAAACATTCATAGATTGAAACAACAGGGCCAAGATAGTCGTATTAAACCTTTTATTTAAGTAATACTAAGTAACAAGTCAATCATACATTTATGATAATACTGCAGAAATTCAAGAAAACATCAACTTTTAACAACAAAAAAATTAATTATCACGCTAAGATTTTTAAATAAAAATTAAAGAAATATTTAATAGCATTATATTATAAACAATCAATATAACTTCCATAACATATTTGTTAACAAAAAAAATTTATTTTCGACGTGAAAAAAAAAATAAATAAAAAATTAAATTGATAGCAAGAAAATAATGTGTAACAATTGTATCAAACTCTGAAACGACCATGAATTTTTACATTTGTAGTTCATCAAAAGATAAGCCAAAAATTATTTTAAATTACACATACTTGAATAAGCTACTATGATTTATAGACCCAATGTTTCAATTTCGAGCAAGAATCAAAATCTCGCTTCAAATATTATAGTTTTGAATTTCAAAAGTTTGTGTGGTCAGTTCTTGCACATCTCTAGATGCAGAATAATTGACAATAAATTTTTTTTGTGTTAAAGTTAACTATGTACGTGCTACTGTTTCAAAATGGTTCTTCTTTCTTTTATCTTGCGTCATCAGTACTAAAGGAAAGAAAGCTACATTTTTTTATTTCTTTTATAATTTTTTTCAATGTTAAGCAT